AAAGGCCATAAATTCTACATGACAGAAAACAAAAAAGGGACTGAGTCTTTACAAATCCCCCCCAAAAACCCAGAACGGTCCCTACAGCTTTCCCGTTTCTGAGGAACAACAGCCTTTGAGGGGCTGGCTCTTCAAGACCATAACAAAAGCCCAAACACTAATAAAAGCTGTCAAAAACAAAAGCGTGACTGTCTTTATGTAATGTCCTCCTCCAAATTAAAGGGGAGACAATGTGATTCCCCTCAACAGGCTTATCACATCATCAGCCTACATGTGAAGTAAGCAAACGTGAACATTTGGTTCGCTTCAATGGGAGCGTTTTCCCAAAAAATTGAGAAACCTGGACACATACTCTGCCATTCAAACCAGAAAATCTCAGAAAGGCTGAAGAATCAGTTAAGAATTTTCTCTCAATGCTGAATTTGGGTTGTAGTGTTTCGTTGGGGGAACCTGCCTGTTCTTCATCTATTTCACAAGGGATCGATAATTTCCACACATCTGGGCAGAGGGAAATGCTGGAGGAGCAAACCCATCTGGAGTCAAGAGAGCCCTCAAAGAGCAAGGAGCTCAAGCTGTCAGGCAGCTACACAAGGTTTTGAGGGACCTAGTAGTTAAAGTAAAACCTGCTCAGAGACACAAGGCTCACTCTCAAAACTCCATACAGGCGAGTGCCTGATCAGCAATCCCAGTTTAAGTGGCTTTTTTTGAGATTGCGTGCTCCTAGCATCTACTTCAAGTGCAAGTCTAACTCAAAAGCAAAATAAACTATCTTTATGAGAGACTCATATTTAAAAATTATCTCCCATTTTTATTGGCAACAAAAAGATGGCATGCCACCAGTACGTACTTCCTGAAGTATTTTGTCATACTCTCCCCGGTTCTAGCATTTGCCAACCTGTAGCCTAAGAATCCTTCCATGTTCTTAATAAAACTCCTTTTAGATGTTGGTTAACAGTAAGTGTTTGTTTCCTTTCTATTGATATTGTAGAAAAAGTATTATCTGTAAATGACACTAAGCTCAAAAAAATACTTCAGGCAGCCATGCAAGCGAAGTCACACTCACACCCTCTCCCGGCTTGAACTCAGTTCCAGGTAATACAAAAAAAAGCCTGTTTTGTGGTTAAGCCACAAAAGAAGAAATGGGAAGTGGGAGGAAGAAGGTTTTGATTTTATCACATCTTCCAGAGCAGAGGGCTGACAGCACAGGCTGACTCAGTCTCTTTGGCTTTTGTAAATGTGAGCTGCCATCGTTCATATGATTGAAAATAATGATCCACTAGAAAACAAATAAAGAGTGTACATTCCCCCTAAAATGCAGTTTCAGATGTCACTGCACAACAACTGCCTTTCAGCTGAACACACACTCCTCCTCCTGTCAAAACCCAAGTGCAAAACATCCAGCCTTTACAGCAATCTCTTTCTGTTTTATCCTTATAGGACCGTGAATCGTTAAATCCTCAAGAATTGTTAAATCCTCAAAAGTAACATTCAGAGGGAAACCAAACCACCCAGTTGGGTTTCCTACCATCTCAGAGTAAGGTCGTATGTTGAAAGGGAACACCGTTGCTGCCAGGGCACACAGGAACTCGGGGCTCATCCACAAGGAGACGAGGTCTGGCACGTTATGGTACAAATAGCGGAAGAACTGCATCAAGGTGACTGGATATTCTCGAAGCCAGGAGCCTTCTTCCTCCGACTGCCAAGGCTGGGTGGAAAAACAAACAGCACGTTAGCACAGGCTAATTGAAGAATGTTCATTTCAGAAAGGAGCTGCAGGAAGAGGAGCTGTAGGGTCAAGCGTGCAATGAAACACGTGATCGTCACAGGTGCTCGAAGACGGGGCCAAATGTGATCAACCACATGGACTTCTTCAAGCCCAGCAGAAAGAGGTGACTGAGCACGTGGCCAAGCACATGATCAAGTGTGAAAAACACAGAATTACAGAATCTTCTAGGTTGGAAGGGACCTTAAAGATCATCTTGTCCAACCGTCAACCTAACTGACAAAAATAGTCACCCACACAACAAACAAGGAGCATCATCACTAAACCAGACCTCCCAGCACTACATCAACC